CAGGCAGAGCACCCCAGGGAGCCTCGGATTGAGCCCAGCCCCAAGCTCCCTCTCTTTATAGATGAAGAAACTGTGGCCCCGACAGGGAAGGTGACTGCTGAAGGCCCTGGAGGAGTGTCAGGCAGAGCTGGGCTGAGAGCTTGGACCTGGGGCTGAGGGCCCCTGAGGCAGTGAAGGGAGGAACTGACTTACTTCTCATTGTCGTAGTACAGCTTCCCAATGGCCCAGGCCACGATGATGGGGAAAGGCACACCTGGGGAAGAGAGCGCAGTCACAGAGCCACTCAGTGGGGCCTGGAGGACCTCAGCGCATCCCAGGGCCTAGAGGCAGGCAGGGGTCCCCAGGGTAGAGCTGGGACCCACTCTTCCAAAAGACCTCCTTTAATGCTCCCTCCCCTCCCCCCAGCTAGGGGCAGAGGGCTGTGGTGTACATTCTGTCACCCTAACCTGGCCCTGCAGCCAGCTGGCCTGGGTCTGGGTGAGGAGAGGGGAGCCTGGGATGGGCGGGGCGGGGGGGGCGGGGGATGTGCTAACCCCAGCCAATGAGGATGAACATCCACTTGCGCAGCCGGTCTGTGGAGTACGTGAGCACGATGGCTGTGTGCAGGTAGCAGCCCTCCCCAAACATCCAGAAGAAGTTGGTCACATGGAAGTAGTTGTAGGCGGCTGTCACCAACCTGCACCAGCCCTGCCACCCCGCCCCCACCAGATATGACAGTGAGCGGGGTGGGGTGGGGGGGTGGGGGGGGACAGGTCGGGGCAGCACCCGCATTCCACCCTGGGCCTGGGGCCTCCCCTGGGCAGGATGGGCCACTTCTGTTCTGTGGGCCCCAAGGCCTGGCTCTGGCCCTGCCCCTCCCCCTCCAGGACAGCCCCACCCGGACCCGTCCTCTGAGCCCGGGCCTGCCCCTCCAGGACATACCATGTTGCTCTGGTGGACTTCGGGGCTCATGGTGAGCTGGACCACGAACCACGTGGCATTGCGCAGGATGAAAGCCGAGATGAGGTTCCAATGGATGATGTTTCTGAGGCAGCGGATGCTCCTAGGGGCAGGAGGGGAGGTGGGTGTTGGGAGCAAGAGGAGGGGAGAGAGGAGGAGGAATAGGCCGCAAGCACAACTCCAGCCCAGATATATGGGTGGGGAAACTGAGCCTCAGAGTGGGGCTGACCGGCAAAGACACACATGGCCCTTCCTACCTGTGACCCGCCCAGACCTCAGCTCTGGGGGCAGAATCTGCCACAGCCAGTGCTCCAGGACCAGGGGCTGCCCTTCTCCCATGGGCACTCCTCCCCTCCCTGTGGTTCCAGGTTCGAGGGTCAGAAAACACACAGGCCTCCAGTGGGACGTCTCCCTGCTGCTCTCAGCCTGATGCTTTGGCCGTCCCGTCCCCCCAC